ATTTTGTTGGATCTCAAATTTTTTTCACGGAGTAGTTTACATTAAACAGACAGTACAGTAAATCTGTATTGTACTGGTATCATTTAAAAACTTTTTCAAAAAAATTAAAATTTATACTCTAACACCAAGTCTAGATATTATTAAGCATTTTTTGCTTTTCCAAATGTAAAATACACTGCACATTACCACACCTTACTTGTGTAAAAAGGATATATAATTGGTGAAGATAGAAGATCAAGAAGATATTTCTCCACAAAACCACGACATCAGCAACAGTAGTTTCTATATACATGATAATATTGAAATAAGACAAGTAGGATTAGCCACTCTAAAAATCTCAATTAATTAAAAGATCTAGATCATTGGAACAACATGCTACATGCACCTTAGAGATTGGTACAGAATTGAAGTATTAGATTGTATTAGGTTTAAGCTCCACTAGGAATTTGATAAATACTTTGTACTTAATTGGTAAAATTAAAATACATGGACAACCAATTATTCAAAGACAACAAATTTAAAACTACCAAATAAATAAACCACTATATTTGGAGGATGCTACGCATAGCAATATGTATGTAGCATCTAGTGCGTACTGTTGTAGGTCAACCAATACTCCGTACATCTTTGACAAACTTATTATGCAATGAGAATAGAACATATATATATGCACGCAATATGCCAACCATATATTAGATGTTTATATTCAATCAAAGAACTAACAGTAAGTAACACCCCTAAATATCACAGTCAATCTTCACCATTTACCATGCATACACGCTGAAAGATGCATGTAGCGGCCATAGATATGATCCAGTTAGACTAAGTACAGCCATAGTCATGGATACTCCATATAGCTAGTCTTTATAGACTAATTTGCTCATGTCGTTAATCAAACTACGACATTATATACATTAAAATTGGTATATAAAAGTACAATATTATACATATATATAAAATTATACAGAGTAGTAAAAGTATTAATAATTGAAATACATTGACAAGCGTAAAAAGTTGAAATGTTGCAAATAAAATCTAGGGAAGTATATATTATATACATGTGTTATAAAATATAGATACTGAATTTGTATATACTCTAAAAGTTTTGAACTTTTGATTATACATCAAATTATATAAGAATATATATGGTAATTAAATGACAATATTTCATCCCTTTCAAAAAAAAAAAAAAAAAAATTGACAATATTTCATATCTAAATTTAGTGGTAATATAACACGCAAAGAAGCAATTATGGATAATAATATATATGGAGTACATTATTTACACTATGTTTGGATTCGGATGTAGTCGGAGCTGAGCTCTGGTGAACTGGATGGGCAAACTAAAAAAAAAAGTACTATAAATTGCGGGTAAGGATCATCCCCCCAACCCAACCCAACCCAACCCCACCGGCGCACCTCCCAAAAAAAGAAGCCTTAAGTTGAATTAAATCAGATTGACATATATAATATCTATCTATATGACTATCTAATTAATTGCAACAAATTAAAGAAATTTTTTTATATCTCACAAATAATAACCCTTATTGCAATTAATATTTAACGAAGAAATATTTTTCTTTACTATTTATCAGGTGGACAGTAAACATGTCTACTTCCAATTACATCTAGCAATTATGTGTTAATTATTAATTATGAAGTGTAATTATATTACAATTCAAAAAAATTAATTAAATCGGCCGGATTGATCTGAATCATCCCAGATTACATACACTAGCGATTATCTGATTAGCCAAACAAACATGCTAAATTGTGGTCCATGCAGGCAAATACAAGATATAAAACTATCTAGTAAGCACCAAATCATAAGTCATTTTTGTTAAACATGGATCTATTGATTTAGAATCTTTTAAAGAATGGGACAACCCCTTAAAAAAAAAAGCTGCATAATCTTGAAAAAGAACAAGAAATGTACGTACCTTTTAAAGCAAATTTATTAATCTTATTATCTTCTCGTACATATTTATCCATCTAACTATTTGAATTAGTGCATGAAATAATATAGTATAATAGTGTTACATTATGTATTAATGCATAAAATAAATATTCTAATTGCTAGTAACGACAATTACCTTGTGCAGTACAGCAAGGATATCCAAGGCATGGTTCAAACTACTTTATACAATAGTGACAACTACTTTAATGTATGTTAAGATATATGGTTCAAAACGACAACTCTTTGTATATAAAATGACATCCGTATTCGATATTGCTGCTATATATATATATAGCTCTTTACTTGTCATAATGGGGACATGTAATATATTTATTGGCCAAGAGCTAGTTTATTAAACTTTGTCAAAAAGAAAACTTGAGTTAGTTGATTTAGTACTCCGTATTAATCTTGGCTATTATTTTTATTGAATGGACACGACACACGTTTGAAGCTAAAGTTATACACTAATGGTACGGCTTCTTTGCTTAATGGTAATGAAAATGAATTTACTTAACTTATCAATACCTCATGATAATATTTGTTAATTCGTTCAAAATAAAACAGTACGCGATGATGAGTTACGTATGTTAGCATGGTTAATATGCAAATTTATAAAAGAAAATACTATAAAAAAAATGAATATTTGATAAATTTACATGTATATATTCATTTTTATTTATCTTATGGTCGTTTATGTATACAGTTGTCATCATGTCATTGAATTGGTATTGTAACAATTTGGGCTATTAAAAAAGACTAGCTAGTTAATTAGTACGAGTAGTTAGAATGCCTAGAAAATTAAGCTGGTTTGGTAAACAAGTAAACCTTATTTTAGCTAGTTTTACGTGGTCGTATTATAAGGCCAACAAATTGAAAGTAGACAAACAGGTCAAAAGATTAAAGAAATAAAACGTGGTCAAGTTAAAGTAGTAGTAAGTTTTCAAACTACAAGAATAAAGACAAAACTAGAGTATAACAAGGGCTATAATATAGAATAGCTAAATAGGATAGAATAGGGTTAAGTGGATTGTTAGATGGATAATCTTCTTTATTAGACCAAGACTCATCAAATTATAGTGGATTCGTGTTAAACATACCATTTTCATACTCTTTCAAATGTAAAACTATTGGGTCGTATGAATTTTCAAAGTTCAAATATGACGCTTTCTTATGAATTTGAGCACTTTTTTCATGCTACTATATTTTTCCCAATTTATCCTTTCTATTCCGTAATTAAATAATTTAAGGTATTTTGTAACTTATTTTGGGTAGAAATTTGAGTACAATTTCACAATATAATGGATTAGCAAATATGGTATTTACTTGGAATTTCAAGCAACTTTACAACAAAACAAAACCATCAATAATTGCTTTAATTAAATCACTCAATTTGGATTTCAAATACTATAAAAACGAAAAAGATTGTTCTTCTTAAATTACCTCATGTCGCATCTAACTACTTTATTTTAAGATTAGCTCGGAATTCTCCATAACTTAAAGATTAGATATATTTAATGGACTTATATTGTAATTTTAATGATATTATATAAATATTTCGATCCAGATGTTTTTAATTTTTAAAATGGAATCAACAGATTAGAATTCAAATAAATATTTAATATCAAGATTTGTTACAATAGAAAAAAATATTGAGAATTAAAATGATTAATAGTATGGAGTAGAAATTTGAAACATGGTATTTACCATGTTCTTATGATATTTGAGGCTTAATATCAATATCTTTTATATAGGTTAGTAAAGCAATTGAGTAAATGGTTCAATCACAAGATTAAGATAATGTTTGGCCAAACTGGAAATGTAATTATGTAAAACTCGAATGCCAAAACTAGTTAAAAAAATCAAAATCTTTTGAAGTAAATTTCTTGATACAAGTTGAGATTTGAGAGTAGCCAACGTGTCGTCTTATGCAAACTTACAACTTGTTGAGAACAATCACTTAACATCCTACCATTCCCCTTCTAAGTTAAAGCTATTTCCATCCTAAATCAAATTGCCATTTTAGGAAAACAAACTAGGACTTTAGGATTATTTTCTTAAAAGGGCATTTTCGTAATAAAAGTACAAAGAAGAGGGCAAATGAGGGAGAAAATCAAAGCATACATTGTAAAAACGAGTAATGGACTAATGGTGAGTACAAGTAGTAAGTATTAACTACACATAAAAACGTAAGGGACACAATCTAACTAAAGTGGGACCCATTTAGACCATATAACGCTCTTCCATCTTCTATCCAATCCAATATTCCTTCCAAATAAGACGATTCAACCACATTATTTTCTTTTAAATTTAATTTCTGAAAATATGTTTGATTTTATCCTTTTTGACTTTCTCCCTCTCATCCATATCCCATTTAGCCTTCATTCAATTGAATATTGTAATTCCAAACGCAACCTTCCCCCTCCTCTATTTCTATTTTTTTTTTTAAAAAAAAAACCGTCACTAGCGGAAAGCAAAACACGTAATAACTCGGTATATCATCCGAATCAAATTAAGATTTCTAATTTAAAATTTCTTATTTCTAATAAAGTGTTATACTTCTAGTAAAAGAGAACCACAAAACAATAAAAAAAAGTTTTTAATTAAAAAATAAAATACCCATTCTCAACCTAACACACTTTCATTATATATACACACACTTATCTCATTCCTCTGTTTCTTTTTCTTCAATCTTTATCCATTAAGTTTTTTTTCGTTATTTTATTTTATTTTCTTATACTAATCCCTAATTATTTTTTTCAGTGGATTTCTGTTCTTCTTATCAAAAAGTAACCAACCCCAATTAAAAAAGATTTGATCTTTGGTATTCCATTTTTATTTTATATACGGAGTATAAATTTAACTAGACAAAGATCTTCACTTTCTCTCTCCTCCTTTCTCTGTCTTCAGCAATCTTCTTAATTTCTAAAATTTTGTGTAGAAATTCATGAAAGGTAATCGCTTGTTTATATTGCTTCAGCTAATTCAAGCTCCATTTTCGGATCATTTTCAGGTATCCTCATTTTTTCTTAAAAAAGTTCTGTTTTTCTTGAAATACCCAGTTATTTCATGTCCTTAAATCATGGAATTCTGTTTGCTAATTTTTTTATATGTTTGCATGATTTTTTATTTCTTATTTTTCTGGGTATTTTTTTTTTTTTTTTAGTGTTGAACTGATAATTTGTTTGATGTTTCTTATGTAAACAGAAAATTAATAAAAATTGTTTGATGTGTTTTTAAGTATATTAGAACTCTTAAATCCACATTGTCATTTTGTTTCCTTATTTGCTGTTGTTTTTATAAAATTTAGTTCTTTCTGTGTTTTCGAAGACCTAAAATCAAATCCCGTCTATGTCTATCCAATGATCCTTTGTGCTCCTGTACAAAAAAAGTAAAAAGAAATAGGAAATATCTAGTTCTTGGTAGTTCTATTTTTTTTTTTTTACTCCCTTTTTTAAAGGGGTGGGGTAGAATTAGGAACTTAAACAAGGTTTGTACTTCCTGTATTAGTGTTTTGCAGCCCAAAAGGAAAAAAAAAAAATTAAAAAAAAAAAAAAAGAAAAGTAAATTTTATAATGTTTGTAACTTTTGGGATTTTTTAGGTAGGAAGAAGATAGAGCTTGACTAAGATCCAACTTTTGGATAATGTACATTATGATAGTAATGCCGACTTTTTAATTTCCTATTGTTATTATTTTCTGTATACTTTTGGCAGAAGTAATTATAAAGATCACCCCTTTATATATGTATCCTGTTTCTATAATTAATAGTAGTAGGTAAGGGTTAGAAAGAGCTAGAATCAGCTTAGTATATCCACAAAATCTTTGTTATTAGATATTTGGATATGGTTGCCAAGAGATCTGTTACTAGTGAGAGAACAGGTAAACAATCTAATGATAATGGAGCTGCCCTTTGTGGATTCGAAACCGGTTTCGTTTCATTTGTTGGATTTGTTAAACTAATTTCATTTGTTTGAATGCTATGAAAGAGACTAATGTCTTTTATTTATAAGAAATTTAGGAACAATTTTTATTTTTCTATTTGATTATATCAATTTGTTAGGGTGAAAATGGATGTTTGTATGGTTGTATGCTGTGTATAGAAATGATTTGTCTATTTATTAGGAAAAAATGCGGACTTGCTAACAAGTTCTAAGGTGATGCAAGACCAAATCAATGCTATAAGTTGTGCATCGCAGACAGGTGTCTTGATTTGTTATAAGTTTCATGTGCACAACTAGTTTATTGACTGCGTTTTTGTATGATTATTCCACAAAGTAGGATAAGGATGAAAGATAGGAGGTCTTCATTGTAGTCATTTAAGGAAAATGTGTTGTGCAGCCTATGCGAGTATAGGTTGACAGCGAGTGAGGATAAGGATGAAAGGAAGATGCTTTAATGATTTTTGATTGGAAAAAATTGCGTTTGTGGCCTGTCTTCGGAGATCATTAATGAGCTCGGACTGTTAGTTGTGAAGGATAAGAGTTGCACTTATAATACAGATTTTGGGAAGATTAATTGTTGTTTTGGTGATTGTGAGGTATCCCTCTCTGAAATAGGATTTTCTTTGTAACCTTAGTTTTCGAGTATCTTCATTTGCAAGTCTGCTACATACTGTAGCTTGCTTGTTTCCTGTCTGAATTTTTGTAAAGTGCAAAGTACTTTTGTTTGGATAGCCCATGTTCCCCTTGTTCATTTGCTGGTTCTTTTCTGATTGTGATGCTTGAATGGAATAACTTGAAAGGATTCTCTTTTTGTGATATTTGAGTTAGCCCTCAATTCTTCTTCTTCTTCGTTTTTTTTCTTATTTTTTATTGTTATTTTTTTTTAACTCGTAATTCTTGCTGTTTATCCGATCAATATATAACATAAATCCATTTACTGTGCAATTGTGCATTAATTTGTCTTTACAATTATTTCTTTGTTGTTCAACTTGTGATGCTGAAGCTGATGCCATAGATTTCCTTTGTATGTGAAGTAAAGAAAATCTATGCATGTTTTGTACTGTGTAATATTCTTTTCATCCCCGTGATATTTTCAAAATTACTTAATCTTTATTTATGTTCCTTAGATACATCAGTTCAGTTTTTTATAAGGTGATGTATCGATCTGATTATGCTACTTCACATTTCACTAATAATGTTAGTGCTAATTGCAAGAATCTATTTTTGATTGGCTCCTCTTAAAAGGTAATAGTAACTAAGTCTTGATTAAATCTAACAAGTGTAAGTTATAACTAATTGCAGTTTATAGGACTCATTTTGCATGCATAGGTATCTTTTTATCCATTTCATTTCATTTTTTTTTTTGAATAGTCTTTTTATCCATTTCATTGTTTAAGTCATATCCTAGTACTAAGGATAGGGGGAGTTCTATGCATTCACATATTTCTGAATATTGGACAATCAAAGAACACGTTTTTCCTGTAATGTCAACAATGATTGCTATGTTCTAACTACCTTTAAAGAAAATCTTTTGGCCTGAATCACTCACTTGATGATTCTTGCTATATCTTTAGCAGTTTCAAAGATTCTTTGTCTCCTTTGAATTGTGTTTTTTTTGGGTTTTGACGGAGTCACTCTATTGAGAAAAGCATATAATTGGTAATGTTTGCTAACTTTGAGGGAATAATGCTTCTGCAGAGATCAATGGATCTGATCTTAGATTTTTAGCTGGCACACGTTTTTTGTTATGTTGATATTGTTTTAAAATACGAAGTCTAGTTACAGTCATAGATTTCTTTTCAACTACATTATTCTCGAGTTCCCTTGTGGCACCTTCACTTTCTTTGATACTAATCATAAGCACATGTAAATATTCATGATCTTTTTTGTAATTATGCTGTTGTTTGTTTAGATTTTGTTTTGAACTTATGTTATCTTATTTGCATTTTGTAGTCATGGCATCAAGATCATATGCAAGCTTTCTGGATTTAGCAGCTGGAGGGTATCTGGATTTACCTCCAACTCCCAGAAACCTTCCTAAGGTGATGACGGTCCCTGGTGTTATACCTGATGCAGACTCAAGTAGAAGTAAAGATTCTATTTCAGATGCTTCCACTTCAGGATATCGTGACAGAAAAATTGTAGTAGCAAATTTTCTCCCAATAAATGCTCAAAAGGATGCTAAATCTGGTAAATGGAGCTTCAGTTTAGATGAAGATTCACTTTACTTGCATCTGAAAGATGGGTTTTCAACTGAAAGTGAAGTTTTTTATGTGGGGTCCTTGAAAGTGGATGTTGACGTCAGAGAGCAGGAGGAAGTTGCCCAAAATTTGCTTGAAAATTTTCATTGTGTGCCTACATTTCTTCCAGCAGATTTGCAAAAGAAATTCTATCATGGGTTTTGCAAGCAATATCTTTGGCCTCTCTTTCATTACATGCTACCTATGTCCCCTGATCATGGGTCTCGTTTTGATCGGGGGCTATGGCAAGCCTATGTTTCAGCCAACAAGAAGTTTGCTGACAAGGTCGTGGAGATACTAAACCCGGAGGATGACCTTGTGTGGGTTCATGACTACCATCTCATATTGCTACCCACATTCTTAAGAAGGCGATTTTACAGGGTTAAGTTGGGGTTCTTTCTCCATAGTCCATTTCCTTCATCAGAAATTTATCGGACTTTGCCTGTAAGGGATGAAATCTTGAAAGCATTTCTGAACTCGGATTTAGTTGGCTTTCATACGTTTGACTATGCTCGGCATTTCCTCTCATGTTGTAGCAGACTGCTCGGATTGGACTATGAGTCCAAGCGAGGATATCTTGGGATTGATTATTTTGGCCGAACAGTGTATGTTAAGATTTTACCTGTGGGATTGCAGCTTCGTCGCCTTGAAGTTGCAATGAACCATCCTTCTGCATCTGCTAAAGTCAAAGAGATACAGAAGCAATTTGAAAATAAAAAGATAATTCTCGGTGTTGATGACATGGATATCTTTAAAGGAATCAGTCTCAAATTACTGGCTGCTGAGCACCTATTGCACCAGCATCCTGATTTGCAGGGAAAACTCGTCCTGGTCCAAATAGTGAACCCTGCAAGAAGTACAGGGAAGGATGTTCAAGAAGCAAAGTCAGAGACATATGAAATAACCAAAAGGATCAACATGAAATATGGTTTTCCAGGATATGAACCTGTCATCTTGATTGATCGACCAATGCCTCTTTATGAAAAAACTGCTTATTATGCAATGGCCGAATGCTGCATTGTGAATGCGGTTAGGGATGGGTTGAACCTTACCCCATATAAATACGTCATTTGCAGGCAAGGATCTCCTAAAATCGATGAGGCATTGGGAATTACCACCGGAGAAGCTCGTTCAAGTATGCTGGTTGTCTCAGAGTTCGTTGGTTGCTCTCCATCTCTCAGTGGTGCTATCAGGGTTAATCCATGGAACATTGAGGCCGTTGCAGATGCTATGAAAATGGCTATAAGTATGTCTGAGTTAGAAAAGCAGTTGAGACATGATAAGCATTACCGTTACGTTAGCTCTCATGATGTGGCCTACTGGTCCCGCAGTTTTGTGCAGGATTTGGAGCGGGCGTGTAAGGAGCACTATAACAAACGTTGCTGGGGAATTGGTTTTGGGTTGAGTTTTAGGATTCTTGCTCTCTCTCCTTCCTTCAGAAAGCTCTCAGTTGAATACGTAGTTTCTGCATACAAGAAGACGAAAAGAAGGGCAATTTTTTTGGATTATGATGGAACTGTTGTCTCTGATATGTCCATTGTCAAAACCCCTAGTCCTGAGCTAATATCTATTCTGAACAACCTTTGCAATGACCCAAAAAATACCGTATTCATTGTTAGTGGTAGGGGACGTGATCCTTTGAGTGAATGGTTATCCCCTTGTGAGAAGTTGGGAATAGCTGCTGAACATGGATACTTCTTAAGGTATGCTGATTGCCTTCTATATTTCATCTTAAATGTAAATTCTTAATTCTGTTGATTCTGTTAAATTGTGATAGTCTTTTCTCTTATCGATTTTTATCCTAAAATTATGTTTGATTTTATATAACATGGACTCTTCATTCACCATAGACAAGCTACTTGATGCATTTGAAAACCTAACCTAAAATATTCTAGCTAATTTTTGGCCCAAAATGTGCTGTTTCAGTGTAGGATCAGGTCCATGTAATCTATGTTTACTGAACCACATATTACTCCCCAACTTTTGTGTACCCTACCAAGGCATTTACACAAGTCAAATGCTATTTATTTTTCCTGATTTCTTCTGATGGTATTGTAGGTGGAACCAAAACTGTGATTGGGAGATAAGCCCGGTTACTGCTGACAATGACTGGAAAAAAATTGCGGAACCTGTGATGCAGCTTTACACAGAGGCTACAGATGGATCTACCATTGAGAGCAAGGAGAGTGCTGTAGTATGGCATCATCAAGACGCAGACCCTGATTTTGGCTCTTGTCAGGCCAAAGAATTGTTGGATCATCTAGAAAATGTCCTTGCTAATGAACCTGTTGTTGTTACCAGGGGACACAATATTGTTGAAGTTAAGCCACAGGTATGCACCATCATACCCTATTCTTGTGTGGAAAGTGTATTTGCTAGGCTGTCATTTCATAGACATAACAAATAAATTTCTATAATTTATACTACGTAGATAAATGAGGTAAAGAGTATGCACATTGTACATACATAGAAATAAGGGAATGATACCCTTCAAAAAAAAGGAATTGAATTTTTAGTCATTTAAAATATGTGTACATTTGGGGAATGGTAAAGTCCGTTGATAAGTACTCATCAGATAAGGTTAGAAAAATAATGTATTGTCCTTCACAATTGACTTATAAGGGTTATTGCATAGATATTCAGTCACTTAGTATTGCATTGGTATTCCTGATATTACAAGTTTTACGGAATAAAAAATCCGAGTCATAAATGGACAGATTATTAACATATAGAGAATATGAGCACAATTTTCTGCCTGGCAATATCTTTACTATAATGTAACATCAGCAATCAAGTTTCTTGAAATGTGTTAAATTATTCAGGAAACACAGAAGTTCTGATGTTTCATTGAAGTATTGCACTATTGCTGCTTGAAAACTTTTCCTTGTTTAAGTCATTACTTGGGTGTCTTCCATCAAACTTCAACATTAGCAGCTAACATAAGTTTTCGGTTGAAACTTGCAGGGTGTTAGCAAAGGGTTGGTGGCAGAGAGAGTGCTATCAGAACTGACAAGTGATGGACAGCCACCAGATTTCCTGTTGTGTATAGGCGATGATTTGTCAGACGAAGACATGTTTGAAAGTATATTGAGCAAAGCTTCTTCGCCATCTTCGGGTATTGTGCCTGAGATTTTCGCATGCACTGTTGGTCAAAAACCGAGCAAAGCCAAGTACTATTTGAATGACACAAAGCATGTGATGAGACTGCTTCAAGGTTTGGCATATGCTTCGAACGGGAAGCCGCCTGAGTGCAATCTACAAACCGAAGTCTCTTTCGAGAGCTATGCTTAAGATGTTGCTTGATTTCTGAGTGATAGGAAGGACAGCGAGACACCAAGGACGCCACAAAATGGATACACCACATTGCTTGAATATGGTAGGAATGCGCGAGTTTTTTTTGGTTAGGGGTTGGTATGATTTGGGGTGTAGCTGTAGGTTTTGGAGGTTTAGATGTTGATAAAGGGTGTTAGATTACCTTGATAACCCAAAAAAAAAAAAAAGTAAATGGTTTGTATATGTTTTCTTTCATGGATTTTCTCATACAGGGAAACTTGAGTCTTCTGATACAGTTGAGAACATAAACTGTTCTTCATACCGCCCTCATAATCTTTGTCCAGATGGAAACCTTTGTAAATATTCCCCATAATTAAAGAATTTTTCTTAGAATCATTTGTTTCTTTTATTGGTTCTTTTGGAGAAATTCTGTGTTACAGAAGCTTCTTCTTAGTTAACAAGCAATGGGATTCCTGATATAATCTAAGTAATACGCAATTTATACTCAGTATGATGTAACTGATATAACCTCAAAATAAGATGACATTTCGAAGAAAAAATAAGACATGGGACTCAAAATAAAAAACATAACAAGATTAGCATGACTAACATTATAGATAAAACTACGGAGTTATTAATGAAACTTAGCTTTGGCACACAAGCACAATAAAATTACACGTTAAATAGCAATTCTGTTGGCCTCATTTAAAATTTTTGACATTAACTTAACACATACTTCCTCCGTTTTCTTTTAATTGCAACACTTCCCTAAAAAGGAAATGTCACAATACTTGCAACACACTATAAAAAAAAAGTTACTTTAGGGAAAAATTATACTATTTCCCTTATTTAAAGCACATGGCCCACTAAATTACACTCCTAACAACATTCATCCTATTTTAAAGTGTATTATATCATGTGAACCCCACATTTCTTAAATACCGTGAAAAAGTGTGTGTTGCATCTAAAAGAAAACGGAGGAAGTATTTACCATACTCGACCCAAATACGCAAAGTGACATTAAACTCACCCACGACCCACAACCCACAACTAGAGCTGTCAATTCAGGTAAACGGGTCGGGTTTGGGTCGGATCAATTCGGATTGATTCCATAACCTATGCGGGTCGGGTTTGGGTTGGGTCATGCTTGAGTCGGGTCGTACTTCTTATCGGGTTTCGGTTGGGTTTAGGTCGGGTTAATAACAGGTCGGGTTACATTCGGGTTGGGTGAACAATAGGTCAGGTTTAATTCGGGTTTTCATGCTTTAAAACGGGTTAGGGTAATCCTTAGATTCGAGTCGGGTTCAGTTCAAGTCAATAATTTGTGGGTTAGAATCAGGTCGGGTCATTCTTGGGTTTGAGTCGGGTTCGGTTCAAGTCAATAATTTGCGGATTATAATCAGGTCGGGTCATTCTCGGGTTCAGGTCGGGTTCGGTTCAAGTCAATAATTAGCGGGTCATAATCAGGTCGGGTCATTTCCAAGTCGGGTCATTCTCATATTCAAGTCGGTTTATGTTCAAGTCAATAATTTGCAGGTTACAATCAGATCAGGTCGGGTCATTTCCAAGTCGGGTCATTTCCAAGTCAGGTCATATTCGGGTTCAACTAACTATAAATAGATAATTATCATTTTTATCAAGCTAATTATTTCCTTTGACTATAATATATATGGCAATATACTAGGGAACTATAGTCTATAATTTAGGAAGATAATTATCTCCTTTGACCATACAACAAATATATACTATATTTAACTCTTAAATTTGAGGATGATGTTCATTTCTTTTGCTGGCCTGGATTAACTTGGTCTCCCTAGACAAAATGCTTTGATCAACAATAATTAGGTGGTCTAAATTGCATTTAAGGTGATTTGAAATCGGGTCAAGAACAATTTGGGTTGAATTTAGGTAGGGTCAATAACAAGTTGTGTTGATTTTGAGTTAGGTTAGTGACAGATCGGACTAATTTTTTAGTCGGGTTAGTAATAAATCTGGTAATTTTAGGGTCGGGTTAATAACAAGTCGGGTTAAATTTGGGTCAGGTTAATAACTAGTCGGGTTGATTTCGGGTCGGGTTTGTAACAAGTTGGGTTAAATTCGGGTCGGGTTAGGAACGAGTCGGGTTGAATTCAGATCAGGTTAGTAACAAGTCGGGTTAAATTCGGGTTTTGATGGGTTAAAACGGGTTTGGGTCAATTTCGGTTCAAGTCGGGTTCGGTGCAAGTTAATTAAATTGGCCGTTGTAAACCGGTAAATCGGTGCAAGTTGTAAACCAGTAAATTGGTCGTTTAAAGGCAAATTGGATGGTTCCACCCACCCAATTGGACTTTCGGAGGGTATTAGGGACCATGATAAACATTTCGGCAATTTTTATTCCGGGCGAAAAAAAAGTCAAAAATTTCCAAAATTAAAGGTTAATGATTAGGGGATTTTGCTCCCACCAATCGGAATGCGCCACGTGGACCAATCAGGTCCTGCCAAGTGTCCCCCAGTTGGAACAGTCAGGGCTTACCACGTGGCACGCGCTTATTATTCCACCTTGGACCTGTTATGTCAAGACATGTGGCATATTCCATGCCTAATGGAGAAACCGGCCACCCAGGCCCAGCTTCCGAGGGAAGCCCAATCGGCCCTAGGTTTACCTAAACCTAGGATGGGCACGTTTCCCAAGGTTATAAATACCTCCCTTAATCCTCATTAAGGGGGATTACAAGAAGAGAACAGAAACATTACGGAAAAAACACATTAATTACACACAGTAATAACCGGCTGATCTCGCTAACAAAGCAGATTACCTACATTAAACACTCTCACCTAGAGAGACCAAATCTCATTAATTTCCGCATTAATTACTCCTTAATCAGGTACTAACTTGACCGTTGGAGGCGGAGCTCCCAGGAGTCTCCGTTATTTTGCAGGTGCAGGCGTCCGGTTCCAGTCTCGGAATTGTAACTCTCCCGCAGGACATCAGAAAACCCCGAAACATTTGGCGCCGTCTGTGGGGAGAGTACTTCTGAGATGGCATCTAAGTCTGTACCGACTCCTGAAGAGAGGCGTCCCCTAGACGACCCTCAAGTTCAGTCGGACCATGATACCGAAAGTGAATTTGAAGTTGAAGCTCATACAGCTTCAGACGGGACTCTAAGGGCCCGACGTACCCGTCATACCGAAAGGAGGGAACGGGAGCATCTTCAAACAGGAAGCGAGCCAGCAGGCGCACCGCCTGTTCGGCAACAGCCGACTGATGGGTCTGCTCCCATCACAAGGAACAAACTCATGACCTTCATGAGGGACTTCAAGGGAGAGATTCAAGAGTTGATCAACAAGAAGCCGCCTGCTCCAGTCAAGGAGCAGTCGGCCAAGAAACCCTCCACTTCACTGAAGAGGAAGCTAGTTCAAGGGCGAGAGGCGACTCCTCATCCTAAATCTAGGAAGTGGGAGCCACCTGCCCTTGATTTCACAAAATACCGTTTTCCTACTCCAGGAAATAGGAAACCTGTTCGTCATATTCAGGCGGACGGATCGAGGAAAACATACACAGACGCTCGGCTACTGCTAGAGCAGAAGAAGAGTGACCGATTGTCAGAGTCGGCCTCTACTTCAAACTTTCAAGACAGTTTGCGAAATGCCTCGATGAGGCATACTCAGTCGTACCATGAGAGTCAGTCAGGCGGCACCTCCCGTCAGTCTGGCTTTCATAGTGACCAGGCGGTACCAAACTTACCATTTGTGCCGCAACAACAGTAATTTTTTGCAGCCACCTCCGTTTGGTGGACCTGCAGCAAAAAACGTCCAACCTATGGACTGGCAGCTACGGTTGCTTAGACTTGGTGAACAGCCGTCGGCCTTCTCCAAGGAAATTACTGAAGCCGCTCAGCCGGCCAAAGTGAAAAATGTACTAGTAGGCGCCTACGACGGCACTACTAACCCAGAAGACCATCTGATGGCATTCACCAACCTGATGTACCTTCAAGGGTTGGATGATCCCACCTGGTGCAAGTGTTTCCCAGCGACTCTCAAAGGAATCGCACAGCAATGGTTCGGCAACCTGCCGACTGGTTGTGTCAATAGCTTCAGGACGCTTGCTTACTTATTTGCCTCCAACTTCGCCATGAACATCCCTGCGAAGAAAACGACCCTTGATTTGGGAACAATTCAGCAGGGTGAGAAGGAGGGGCTTCGTTCTTACATCAGGCGGTTTAACCTGATGAGAATACAGATTCAAGGGTTACCGGATGAGGTAGCTTATACTGACTTTTTCAGAGGTCTCAAAGACGGGTCTACCTTCAAATTTGATTTGGTTCGAAAAAGGGTGGCGACTCTTCAAGAGGCCTTGATTGAAGCAGAAGCCTATATACAGGCGACTGATCTTTGTACGATAAAACAGTCGGACGGGAAAAGGTTCGACAAAAGAGAAGGACGACAGAAACAGTCGTCAAACAAAGATGAGAAAAGAAAAGAGGTCTGGGCGACTGATTCCTCTAAACAGCCGGCCCAGAAAAAGAAAAAAGAATTCAAACCATACTCCCCAAAGTATGCGTTTAACAAGGATAACAAGTTTATCCTAAAAGAAATCAAGGGACGGATCTCAATTGAGAAGCCGGTCCCCATGAAGGGTTCTACAAAAAACCGGAACCAAGATAAATTCTGTGCTTATCATGATGATGTTGGTCATCACACCAATGACTGCATCAGTCTCATGCGGTACCTAAACCGCCTGGCTGAGCAAGGTGATCTTGACACTTATGTCAAGAAATCTACGGGGAACACTTCCTCAAAAAAGCAGTCGGCCAAAAAGAATCAGCAGGCCGACAGCTCTGATACAGATGATGCAGTCGTCTACACCATTGCAGACGGCTTCTCAGGAGGCGGCCCCACTATTAGGGGAAACAAAGACAATATCAGGCGGTTAGATGTAAATTCCGTTCACCAAGAACGGCTGTCCAAATATTCATTTCCTGAGATTGTCATCACTGAAGAAGATCTAGGAGGGGTAAGGGGGCCGCATGACGATCCTCTCGTTATTGAATGTAAAGTGGCCAACCAGAGAGTTGGCCGAATCCTCATAGATACCGAAAGCTCCTCAGATCTCATCAGTAGCAAATGTCTGTCGAAACTAAAATATCAGACTGATTGCATACATCCGGCCTCCCACCCTTTAGTAGGGTTTGGAGGAGGAGTCGTCCACCCACTGGGACGAGTAAATTTACCCATCCGCCTGGGCGAAAAAGGGGAAGGACGACACATAGTAGTCCGGTTCCTGGTAGTAGAGGAACTCTCGGCCTACAACATGATTCTGGGTCGACCTACCCTGAATAATTCCAAGGCTGTTATAATCCCATCTCTTATGTTGCTCAAGTTTGAGAGGGATAATGGAACAGTCGGCTCCCTAAGGG